TGAGATTTTAATATTTATTTTTTAGTTTTCGGCACACACAACATCTTTGTTTGTATGTGGTGCTGAGGATCAAACCCTGGCTGCACCCATGCCAGGTGAGTGCACTACCGCTTGAGCCACATTCCCAGCCCTAGAATTAATATTATTTTTACTTAAAAATTTAGTAGTGTATCTGGTATCTGGGTAATGTTGTGAAGATAATGCAAAAAGTTACCATATGCCCCACACCTACTCTTCCTTACTTTTATTAATATCTTACATTACTAGGTCCATTTGTCACAACTAATGAACCAGTATTATACATTATTAATTATTATAATTAATTATTAATCAATTATTCAGATTTTCTTTCTTTCTCTTCTTCCTTTCTTTTCTTTCTCTCTCTTTCTCCCCCCCTCTCTCTTTCTTTGAGGATCTTATCCAGGAGACCACCTTACATTTAAGTTGTCATGTCATTTCTCTTGACTCTTACAATTTCTCAGACTTTTCTTGTTTTTGATGATTTAACAGTTTTGAGGCGGACTGGCTAGATATTTTATAGAATGTCCCTTACCTGGGACTTGTCAGAGGATTTTCCTATATTTAGATTAGGGTAATGGTTGTGTCATTGGTTCCCCAAATCATCTCACATTTGGTGTTTTGCCAAGAGAATCAGCATATGATCACGTTCAGTTGTGTTTTATTGAAGTGAAAGGATAAAGATTATTATTAGCTAAAGGAAAATGTACATGGGGCAAAATCTGCAGTAAGCAAGCACAGGATTTTAAGAATCCTCTTCCTGTGGAGTCACATAGAATGTGCTTAAGTTTTCAAACAATAAATTGTGAAAGGTTTTAAATATCAGGGAAGTTAATAGACTTAGCACCTATTGGGAGCTGGTCATGTAGGCACCTACTGCTTAGCTAATACAAACATTCAGATTCCTGAAAGTAAAGTAGGTGTTCAGTATAAATCGCATTGCTTGTACAAGCAAATTAGGTGCATTGAACCTCTCATCACTTATGGTGGGAACCCTCCCCAAATTTAAGGTCCTGAATTAAGGGCAGATCTGGTAAGTGCAGATAGACCTGTTGTATTAATTCCTCTCTGAATATGGAATTTTAGGAGGAAGACCACTAAGATAAAATGCCATTGTCATTACTTTACAAGAACACATACTATCAACATGATTTAGCACTGTTGATGTTAACTCAGAAATGTTTTATAACAGAAAAGAATGCTAATTAGTTTTCTATTGCTGCTCCCAACAAATTACCACAAATGTAGTAGCTTAAAACAACATATTGTATCATGTTATAGTTTGGAGGTCACAAGTCTGAAAATTGGCTTTATGGAACTAAAATTGAAGTGTTGGTGGGCTGCACTCCTTCTGGAAGCTCTAGGGTAGAATCTGTTTCTTGCCTTTTCCTATTTCTAAACTCTGTCCTTATTCCTTGGCTTGTGACCTCCTTCTGGCCATGGCACTACTCCAACTCCTGATCTCTTTTATCACATCTTCTTTCTGACATTTAAGGCCTTTATCATGACATTGAACTCATGTGGATAATCCAAAGTAATCTCCCCATTTGAGGTCCTTAATTTAATCCTGACTGCCACATCCCATTGGCCATTGTAAGGTAACATATTTACAGGTTTCAGCAATTAGAATATGGACATCTATGCAATGGTAGCTAGAGTCATGATTCTGCTTACCTCACCTTATTATATGCCAGATATTTTGCTGAGTGCTTTATTTCATTTAATCCTGACATCATTTTATGAGATAATTTCTGTTATTATCTCTATTTTATAGATGCAGAAATTGAGGCTCAGATAGGTTGAATAATTTGAATAATGTGATAACATATCTAGATCCCAAAGTTTATGTTCTTAACCGTTAATCTACATCCTGTTGAGAAAGTTTTTTGCCCCCATTTAATTTTTCTTTGGTGTTTCAGAAAACATTTTCTATCATATACCTTTATTCTTTTTCATTATTTCCTTCATTTAACTAATTCTCTTTTGGTAGTTTACTCTTTGCTAGAAATTGCATCAATGAATGAAATATCATCCTTTCCCTCACAGACCTTTGAGTCAAGGAGGATGACACATGAATTTCAGTGATCATTTTCTTGTGCATTTGCATAAGTGCCATATTACAGATAACTTTGGCTAATGTTTATTTAATATTGGATTGCTTTCACCAAGACCTTGGGTTGCAACTGAGAGTTTTAGAGAAGTCACAAAAGATTAAGATTGATTGGGAGAGGGTAGGGAAAACATATAGAAATGGGAAAGTTGATTACAGACAAGAGGGAAATGGTCAGTTTATAAAGAATTATGATGTAATAGTTAGAAACTCATGTTAGATTTTGAGGATACCGTGTAGTTTCTAGAGAGTTCTGAGAAGCACCAATCCCAGTATACATTCAGAAGTCAGTAAACCTCAGTGGTTTAATTGGACAAATAAATGATGTAGCCAATGCTTCAGGCATGATAAATGATTTGAGAATAAAGGCTAACAGTAGTTCTTAACCCTGGTTTTGAGATGAAATCTCTTCAGGAGCTTTAAAAAATCCAGTACTCTAGGCTGTATGAGATTATGCTTTAGTTGTCTATGTTGTGTGTGGACGTGTGTGTGTGTGTGTGTGTGTGTGTTTGTGGGTGTGTATACATGCGGCAAGTATACACACATACAGTAGACATGGTATGAATATTTATGTCCGAATAACATTTGGTATGTTCAGATAACTTTCCTTAGCATGGATTTGAGAAGAATGAGAATTTTGATTAGGAACAAGGGAGAGGAGAGCAACAGAAGGGAGAAGGTATGGTGGTGAGAGTGATGACAGCAAGTTAGTTTTGATGAGCATTACCGTATTCTAGGTACAGTATAAAGCGTTTTGTTGATATTAGCTGATTTACATGAGCTATTCTGTCACTAGAACATAGAGAAG